CGAAGCTTTTTCCAAAATGCGAGAAATTCGCGAATTTTGAAATTGATTTATAGACTGCGCGAATTTCTCGCGGTAATCATTTTTTAATGCGAGAAAAAGAAAAAATATGCGAGATTCTCGCGTTCTCGCGCTGTAGTGAAAACACTGGACTCTGCAATTATAATCTGTTTAAATATTGTTAACACTAACGTAAGATGGTGCACAGCTTGCAACACGAACAAACAGTAATAAACAAATGGAAAGAGGCCAAATCAAGACTGCCAAAAAAAGCGAGTTATTCAAAATTTAGCAACCATGTCACCTTTTTTAATAATAAATAACAAAATAACTGAAACAAATTTTCACTCCAAACTCCCCAGAATTACATAATAACATTAATATCTTATGAAATACGGCAGATTTGAGCTCAGAAATTATCTAGTTTATTTTTTTTTATTGAAAACAAAATTATCCGTTTGAAAATATCGCCTATCAGAATAACACGTAGTAAGCAGCTGCAAACTTTTTAACCGGAACTAGAGTAGGTCCCGAGCTCGAGATTGTTATTGTTTACATTTCTATTGAAAACACCATCCATTAAGAAAAGGGAAAATATCGCAGTACATTCCTATACAACTGAAAAGAGGAGGAGAGGGAAGGGAGAAGGGCTAAAGGCATGAAACTGGTCTCTCCCCAGATGGCGTATTCGAGTGTTGCGATCGCCAATAGACGTAGTATTTACAATATAATGCATCGTTTACATTTGAATTTCAATGAAACAAACAACAAATTCGGAGAACTCTACAAGCATGCTGCGTCTTAGCGAATTTAGTTGACTTCACAGATCACGATACCCTTTCAAAAAAATTGAGGTATTTTTGAGCTATAAATAAGAAATTTTTCAAAGGTATAAATGGGGTTGTTATTTAAATACGTCGTTAGATGAACATCTCAAAATTTACTTCGAATATAACTTAAATATACCTCCAGAGGTATATGTGCATCAACTTGATGTGTTTCATTTTTCATTTGTGGAGAGGTAGGTATTTACTACTTTAAGATGTCTCGTTTTCAACCTTAGGCACTTACTTATCAACCAGAAGTATATTTTTTTACAACTGTGGAAGTATTTATTCAACAACCTAAGGTGTTTCATTTAACACTTTAGGTTATTATGGATCTACCTAAAGTGCATTTTCTGACAGTGGTAAAGGCAATTTTTTACTAACGTGAGGTGTTTCATGCTCTACCTATATTTTAACCTTAAGTATACATTTTTATGCATCTAGAAATAGTTTTTATCAACTTAAGGTGTGTCATTTTACACATCAAGTTATTATAGATCAAGCTTAAGTGTATTTTTCGACGGTTAGATAGGATGATTTTTATGAACGGGAGGTGTTCGTTGTTCTACTTTAGGTCATTTTTCAACCTCAAGTGTGGTTTTATATAGCTGCTGAGGTATTTATTTATCTACCGAAGGTGTTACATTTTACTCTTTTGGTTATTATAAATCAACTTCAAGGGTATTTCTTGATTAACTTAGAAAGTTTTTTTTATTAACGTGAGGTGTTCCATGTTCTACCTTATTTTATATTAACCTTTAAGTACCTTCCCTCGCTTTTCTAATAGATTCATATTTTGTCCCTTCGTGGGTCCCTTAATTTGTCAATAATTATTTTCTTCGGCACTGTAGTATAATATATTATAATAAAATATCTGGTCAAGATTGAAAATTATAGATTAATATTAAATGGAGATATGGGGTGATTTGTATGCATAGTATATGAGCTCCATTTTTATGCTATTATTCGGCATTATAAAAAAAATAATTCCTAAAAGAAAACAATATTTTATTTACTTTACAATATTGCAAAAAGAATTAAAAAAGCACTTATTTTTATGAAATATAATTTTAAAATATTGACCATTAACGGGGCTTAAGCCCGTGAAACTCAGGTCACCCGATTTGATGCTTCTTATCACGTAATAAAAGCATACATATGTAATAATTACATATGTAATAATTATTTACAACCCCTCACCCGGCTTCGCCACTTATATTGAACTTTAAGTACTTTCCCGGCCACTTTTCAATGGAACTATGTTGTACCCCATCGAGGGCACCCTAATTTGTCCGTAATTATTTCCTTTGGTACGGTAGTGTAGTATATTATAATGTAATATCTGGTCGATTTCAGAATTATAGGTGAATATTAAAAGAAGATATGGGGCCATTTATTAGGAAAATAATATTCTATTTAGATTACAATAATGTAAAATCAAGAAAAAAGCATTTATTTTTATGAAATATAATTTTACAGTTTTGAACAATAACGGGGTTTGAACACCGGACCCTCGGGTCTAGCGATTCGCTGCTTCCTATAACGTGACACGTCAAGCACGGTTCTGCAACTTCTATTAAGTACTTTCCCGAGCATTTCCATTGGAACCATATTTTGCCTCCTCATGGGCCCCTTAATTTGTCTATAATTATTTCGTTTGGTGCAATAGTATATTATAATATAATATCAGGTTGAGATTGAAAATTATGAGCAAATATCAAGGGGATATAAGGGGTTATTTATATACATAGTATAAGAGCTACAACTTCTCCATTTCTAAGCTATTATTCGCTATTATGAAAAAGAAAAATAATAATTTAAAGAAAAGGATTATTTCATTTATGTTACTATATTGAAAAAAAATTATGAAATATAATCTTTCAAATATTGATCTTCAATCGGGTTCTAACCCCCTACTCCTGGGTTCACTAATTTGGTGCTTTTTATCACGTGACACAAATGGCCACACCATACATAGCTGTGCCACTTATAGTTACCTTTAATACTTTCCAGTACTTTTCCAATAAAACCATATTTTGCCCCCTCTTGGGCCCCCGGATTTGTTTATAATTATTTCCTTTGGTACGGTATTAAAGTATATTATAATATGATATCCGGTAGAGTTTGAAAAATTATAGGTTAACTTTAAAGGGAGATAGGGGCCATTTACATGTACTGTATATAAGCAACAATTTCTCAATTTTTATATTTTTATGCTCAATTTATATGCATCCTGCCCAAAAAATGATGCCAAAGTGTTACTAGGGGGTGCAAATGCAAAAATTGGCAAGGGAAAGGAATTTAGATCAATAATTGGCAAATTTAGTCTCCACGACACTTCAAGCGACAATGGAAAGCGACTTATTGACTTTGCTGCAGACCGGAATATGATCATACCAAGCACGATGTTCCATCATAAGAAGATACATAAAATGACCTGGCGATCTCCTGATAGGATCACATTCAATCAAATCGACCATTTTTTGAGTGATTCCAGGCATAAATTGGATATAGAGGACGTAAGAACCTACCGAGGTGTCAACTTAGATTCAGACCACTTCTTAATAATAGCAAAACTACGAGCTAGAATCTCCAACTTTCGAAGGATTCGAGGAAAATGTTTGGAAAAGTTTGACTGCAAGCAACTAAAAGATGAGGCAATTAAGCTCAAATTCCAGAATCAAATTGACAGTAGCCTTAAAGAATCTAAGGATAACCATAGGGAGGAAGATAGCATAAACGCTAAATGGAACTCTTTGAAGGAAAAAATCGTTAAGACTGGTAACGAAGTTGTTGGAAAAGTTAAGAAAACTAAAAGGAAAGATTGGTTTGATAGTGAATGCTACATGGCAGCAGAAAAAAAGAATGAAGCATATAAAAAGGTGCTGAATAAGAGACATTCTAGAAATGCTGAGATCAAATACAAAGAGGCAAGAAAGGAGGAGAAGAGAATTCATAAAACAAAGAAGAATGCATTTCTCGAGGATCTTTTAAAAAATGTTGAACATTTAAGGGGATCTAATGAAAGCAGAGCTTTCTTTCGGGAAATAAACCTAGGACGAAAGGAATTCAAATCTAGAACTACCTCATGTCGTGACAAGAATGGAGCAATCTTGACTAACAATTTGCAAGTATTGGAGAGATGGAATGAGCATTTTTATGAACTACTGAATGGAGTTAGCGATGAACATGAACCACCTACAGAAGACATTGGAATTTATAACCAACATATTGGGGAACCACCAACATTAGAAGAAGTCGATGACGGAATGAAAAAGCTAAAGGACAATAAAGCACCAGGCTCCGATGACATCCCATCAGAATTTCTAAAAAATGGGGGAACATGCGTCACGAAGAGAATATATGATCTGGTACGAGCTATATGGGAGTAAGAATTAATCCCTGAAGAGTGGAAAACCAGCATGACCTGTGCGATACATAAGAAAGGAGATATACTGGATTGCTCAAACTACAGAGGAATTAGCTTACTCTGTACAAGGTATAAAGTATTTTCTAACATCCATTTCAAAAGACTCTCCCCACTTGTCGAAAATATAATTGAAGAGTATCAGACCGGATTCAGGAAGGGGTGATCCACCTCAGAGCAAATTTTTAGCATCCGGCGAATTTTGGAGAAAACAATAGAATTTGGTATTGACGCGCACCATCTGTTTATTGATTTCAAAACAACCTACGATAGTGTTAGCCGCAGAACTCTAATATCAGCCTTAAGAGAATTTAATATACCGGAGAAACTAGTGAAGCTGATTAGCTTGACACTAAGTGAAACCAAAATCATGATCAAGATACAGAATAGTCTTTCCTACCCAATAGAAGTTAAAAATGGTGTACGACAGGGAGATGCATTGGCATGTCTCCTCCTTAATCTAGCATTAGAAAAAATAGTAAAGGAGAATAGTACTACAAACATCATCACCCGAGGACCCAAACATCATCTTCAACAAATCAGTTCAAATATTGGCTTTTGCTGATGATTTAGATACTATCGCTAGAACGCAGATAGCGATAACACAATCCTTTTTATGTCTGGAGAAGGAAGCCATTAAGATGGGATTAAGAATCAATGAAAATAAAACTAAATATATGCCCTGCACAAAAGCTGGCGATGAAGAAACACAGTTTGAAATTGGAGCGTGCAAATTCGAAGCCGTTGATAGCTTCACCTATTTGGGATCTAAGATTAACAACAAAAACGACACTACACGAGAATCACGATGGCCAATAAGTGTTTTTATGGTCTAAGAAAATACCTTAAGTCAAGCATAATAAAAAGAAAAACAAAAGTGTTACTATATAAATGTCTTATACGATCAGTCCTTACATACGCATGTGAGACATGGACAATAACCCGTGGAGATAAAAATATGATAGCTAGATTTGAGAGAAAAATACTGCGAAGCATTTTTGGAGGAATAAATAAAAACGGTACCTGGTTTAGAAGATCAAACACGGACCTTTACAAGGCATATAAAGAACCTGACATCATTAAATTTATCAAAATTCAAAGGATTAAATGGGCAGGCCACATTATAAGAATGGAGGATAGCAGGACAACCAAAAAAGTTTTCAGTGCCAGGCCAGCAGGTACAAGAAAAAGGAGATAGGGGCCATTTATATGTACTGTATATAAGCAAGAATTTCTCCATTTTTATGCTTTAATTCGCTCTTAAAAAAAAGAAAAATAATAATTTAGTAAAATAATATTTTATTTACATTACAATATTGTAAAATAAATAGAAAAAACATTTATTTTCATGAAATGTAATTTTACAATATTGTGCATTGACGGGGGTTGAACACCGGACCCTCGGGTTTAGTGATTCGCATGTCAAAAACGGCTTTGCCACTTATATTAACCTTTAATTACTTTCCAGCACTTTTTCAATGGAACCATATTTCGCCCCGTCATGGGCCCTTTAATTTGTCTATAATTATTTCCTTTGGTACGGTAGTATACTATAATATAATATATAGTTGGCTTTGAAAATGATAGGTTAATATTATGGGGAGATATGGGGTCAGTTATATGCATAGTATAAGAGCTGCAATATTTCCTTTAAGCTATTATTCACTCTTATTAAAAGAAAAATAATAATTTAAGGAAAAGGAATTTTTTATTTACGTTACAATATTGAAAAAATAGGAAATATAATTTTTAAAATATTGACCTTTAACAGGGTTCAAACACCGAACCTTTGGGTCTACTAATTTATTGCTTCCTATCACGTAACAATAACGGCCTTGCCACAGACAGCTTTACCACTCATATTAACCGTTAAGTATTTTCCCGCGCTTTTCCAATGGAACCATATTTTGTCCCTTCGTGGGTCCCCTAATTTGTCTATAATTATTTCTTTTAGTTTTGTATTATAGTATATTATATTAAATCATCTGGTCGATATTGACAATTATAGGTTAATATCAAAGGGAGATAAGGGGTTACTTATATACACAGTATATGAGCTACAATTTCTCCATTTTTAAACTATTATTCACTCTTATAAAAAAGAAAACTAATAATTTTATGCAATGCGTGCTGTATCCTGATGCAAGGAAAAGTGTGCATTACTCTCTCTCTTTTTTTTTTCATTATTATCATTATTACGAAATTAATTTACTCCATGGATGATGTTTTCTACATTGGGTATCTCCCCATCAGCCTTGCAGAAATGGGCATCATTAGCTACTATGGATCGATTTAAAAGAGTTAGTTAATCGGATTTTTGAATCGGTTATTTATAATTGTACCTATTTTTATTATTAAAAGGGCTTTTTTTTATAAAAGTTTTAAAGCGTAATTTAAACTATTTATTAATTTATTTCGCGTCAAGCATTTTTAATTTTTTTAATATTAATACTTGTCAATTTAATGGCACTTTATTATATTATAATAAATATTATAGATTAAGGGGAGATATAANAAAACCTGGGCTAGTCCATTGTTATAGATGGAGAGTGGTCATAATGTAATGGCTCAACGGTGTATATATATATATATATTATCATTATTATTATTATCTTTTAACATCTATTTTTACACCTATTGCCATAAAAACTAGCACACCTAGAAAGAGTTGTCAGAAAGAATCGAAATTTTACATACGTAAGTACATCGTTGATATCATAAAGTTATTGAAAAATCAATAAATAAGTTATTGAAGTAAGTGATTGATCATTTATTGTGAGAAAAAATACAAATGAATGGAGGTTTTTGTGCATCTTGGACCACTTTCGAGAATGCAGGATGCGATACGGTTCGTTCAGGCATTGAGGCATACAAGTCCTTTATGATGTCCAGTGGCATCTCGTTCCAGAGTTGCTGTAAAAACACCGCGAAATCAGCTAAGTTTGGTGGCTGCGTCTCAAGTGATCTCAAATACCCCAGTTCGAGGACAAATCTAGAGATCAAGCAGGTCAAAGAAAGGCAGCAATGGGGGGAAGTGACACCCTTGCTGCGTGTAGGCGATTATTATCTGGTAGAAAAATGGCTCCTGGGAGCTCTGACATTAGTGGCAGCACACGTGGCTGGAGAGTGTCACGAACTAATCTGTGGGCTACCATGGACCCGTGGATCAATATTAGGGTTGATCGCGTGCCGTATCCGATGGCACCCAATAAAATCACTCTAATTCTGGATGCGGTGTGCTATTGTATATTGTAGGCAGGATTGAGGAAGCGGCCTCCATACTTGTACAAGATCATTGCCCAAATAAATCTGGATTCATTATTGAAGGCGACCTAGTTCCATTCATTTACAAAACAATCCCGTAGAGGGCGACATTACTCTAAATGGAGTTTGGATGTCAATCCCTCCTACAGCAGCACCACGCTTCAACAGCTAGTATAAGGTGCATCGCATACGTCACACGCCAAATATTGATCCACGGGGCCATCACAGCCCAGTGGTACATTCATGATATTTTTCCATATGTTGCCACTTATGGCAAGGCTCCTTAAGCAGGGTTCTCGCAATCTGGAGAAAATAAACGAGTGGTTGCTAATATTTTTCAAGACTACTGAAAAATGCTTAAAGTTATCTTTCATTTGTGAATAAGGAAATTATTCCTGAGTTATTTTTTGCACCAATGTATATTTATTTCAAATTAAATGTTTATTGATAGCTTAAAACATCTAGATATATCTCACTTTTGTAGCCACTTAAAATTTTTTCCTAGTTTGTGGGTACCCTGTTAAGTATGAAAAAATTCATTTACTTCTGGCAATTCTTTCTAGGCTATAAGCATATATATATAATTTTTAACATTTATACGTTTTATCATTTACATTTTTTAGCATCTGTTTTATTATGTATATTAATATGTACACTTTTTAACTTCTATACTATTAACCAATGTCTTATTTATCAGTTAAAGATTTTTTTTTAAATATTTAAATCATTAATATTGCACATTTCAGCTATTATATTAGTTACCCTTAAATTTTTCCAACCATTCGTGAATAAGTATATTTTTTTCTGATCTGTGGGTGGTTTTCGTTGTTTCTCTCTCCATGTTACGGAAATGGGGGTGCATTCCATTAAAAAAGTCCTCCACGAAGTCTAGTTTGCCCAAATGCTTAATCCAAAAGATCCCTAGTCTTCTGGGTTTGGTTCAGAATTACAAAACTGCGGAGTTGACCATTAATAGTCGTAAACTCAGATTTGAGTTATTCTTGTAATACTTTACTACATTTTTTAAACAACTTCTTTGGTAATTTTCAATTTCATCGATTTTATCAAGTTTTTTCCAGTTTTTTTTCCTGTTTTTTCTTCTGTCCTGGAAAAAATTGGCTTCTTTTGGACGAAATGCCAAATCTATTTCAGATAGATATTTTGTGGAAAATCATCAATAGTGCAAAATCATTTCAACTTAAACATTTGATAAATTGCAAATTTATGTTTATTTGAAAATAATACAGATTTTTTATTGGCAGTCAAAGTAAAAAAAAAAAAAAAAAAAAAAAAAAAAAAAAAAAAAAAAAAAAAAAGAATCATTTTAAAACACGATTTTAATAAAAACAAACAGTAATAAATAAGGCCAAATCGGGACTGCCAATAAAATGAGTTCTCTCTAAATCTAGCAAACATGTCTCCTTTTTAAATAATACATCTATAAATAATTAAAAAATTTTCACTTCAAAATCCCCAGAGTTACTTAATATCATTGAATACAGCCGATGAAATACAGCAGATTTGAGCACAGAAATTACATAATTTTTTTATTTATTAAGCACAAAATTATCTGTTTTCAAATATCGCCTCGCAGAATAAGCGGTAGTAAGCAGCTGTATACTGTCTAGCAGGAAGTAGAGCAGGTCAAGAGTTCGATATTTGTTGTTTACATTTATAGTGAAAACTCTATTCATAGAAATTATAGCCACGTTTTATTATTTATTTGCGAGTACCTATACATAGAAATGAGTTAAATATTAAAATTATATGCACCCTGAAAGCAAATTTAGATAATGTTTAATTTTCGTAATATATGTTTTTATTTGGAAAGACATTTTTAGGTTACAGGCATTTTAAAATAAGCGTAATGATTTTTTCAACCAAAGCGAAACATTTTGCTCATGTTTTGTAACTGTTCCTGACTAAACTGCTAAACCAAAATTAATGTTTAAGTAATTCGATGAGGAATTTATTGATTTTAATTTTTGTCGTAAGTCGTAAATAATATTAGGCAAAAACTAAAAAGTGACGAAAAGTTTTACAGTTTTTTGACTCCCAAAAATTTAACTCACATCAGAAACCGTTGCAAATTCGTATTATTCTAGTTTGGTATGCTTAAAGTGAAATAAGATAATTTCTGGAAATTAGTTCGAAGAACGGCATTTTTGACGGTGCTAATTTGACTGTTCTATAACCGAAATCTGGAAACCCCTTAAATGACACTTATAGTGTTTTTACTCATATCTTAAGAACTAATTAAGCAATTAAAAAAATTCGCACCCACTGATGTAACTCGTTTACCCAAAGATAATTTTTAATAATTATTTATTATTATCTGATTAAATAGTGGACGGAGGCAGTTTGAATTATGAGGCATAAATTTTTTATACCATATTAATGAACTTTTCTATGGAAAAATGTAAAGTTTCACTTTTTTTTATTTAGTAAAAGCCGAGAAAAACTAAAATCAGTTATTTCTAAAAAATAATTTGTCGACAACGAATCAAATATGTAAATGGGGAGATTAATACCTAAATGTCTTTAGCTTACAAGGAACATGACTTGAGCAAAGTTGCGTAAAATTTCATTCATGATTTTTCATTAATAGTCAATTACAAATATTTTTTTCTTTGATTAACAAACACCAGGCTCCTTTTTAAGTCATCTGCTAAATTTTACTGATTTTAGTAAAAAGATGTTTAGGATTGAATGTGGTTGTGCATCTTTTCTCCTTTTAGTTGAGTTATTCTACAGTTGATTCAATTTCAGTAATGGGTATAGGCTTGCGTTTATTTGGAATAATTTATCCATTGTTCAATATATATTTTAATAACTAAACCATAAAAGCTAAAACGAAGATACTAGTTTTGTAAAATCTATCTTTATATCTTTTTGAATCAAATTCTAGTAACATCAACAATGATTATCTGAAATTGTGTTGTAATGTTTTAGATCACTACAAAGAGCATAGAGTTGCCGAACAGAGCTGTTGAATATGCAGCCAAAATGTATAAACGTCTTAAAATATCTTAATATCTGATATAGAGTCATAAGCATTTTAATTTTAAAATTAAATATTTAATTATCTGGCCATGCGTGTTTAGCAGATCTATTCAAGCAATTAATTAATTAAATTTTCAAATTCTCATTCTTTATGTTACCAAGTAGATTTTTTTCCTGATCGTGTAAAAATCTATTTTGTTTTATTTTTATTAGTACTTTGGTTTCGTAGGTTATTCCTTAAACTAAACATTCATTTTAAATGCTGTCAAGCATCTTTTTTCTAGAGAAATGAACAAACAAATAACTTATTCTCTCCTTATTTGTTTGAAATAAGAAAAAATAAATACACGTTAGTGCTACTCAAAAAACTTACAGTTTGCTATGTTTTTTAAATGAGCAATTTAGAACTGCAATTTTATTTTGGCGTTCAAACTTAATCCGCCGTTAACTTAAAAAAACTATTTTTAAAAGATGATGTTGAAAACATTTACTTAAAAAAGTTTTTATAATTATTTCTCAACTTTAACTCAATTTATGAAATATTATTGTAGTATAATTTGTTACCAATAAAATGCCCCAACATGCCTTTTGTTAAACAGCAAATACTAAAAACAGAAAATTGTAAAAAGATTCCAAAGCCATGCTAATTTTTAAGTCATCATCTCACAAAAATTCTTCTTTTTTCTAACCTTAGATATTTTTTTCTAAAATAAGATATATTAAGACATTTCTGGATCGCAAATTATTTCAAATCTGTAATAAAATTGTTCTGTTATAAGTTTTAGCCCTTGTTGCATATGCCGCTATTTCCACAGGCAATGTGGAAGTAGCAAAATATGCACAATCCGTGCGTTTTTCCAATCAATTTAACTGTGCAACCCGCTCTTTTTTAGTTCATGGTTTCACATCGGTTTTTCTGAGAGGCTTAATTTTCAGTTCAGATCCGAATTTTAATTTAGATGTCCACGTTTCTGAGAAATATTCAGGCATGTTTTGCAATATTTTGCTCGTTTTTTAAAGCGTGCTTTTTCGTTGCAAAAAAAAGGAAAAAAAAAATAAAATAAGAAAAAAACAACGAAGGTAGGACGTCACTTTAAGCCTTGTCTCAAAGTTTATCATGCTAACCTTCATTTATAACGAATGTTTTGTAAGTATTTAGCTTGCTTTCATTAGTTTATACGTTCTGCCTTTATGTTTTATAGCACGTGATTAGTTTTACCTTCATGATTAGTTTTACCGTCACTTTTGTTAGGTGTATTGAACTAGATAAGAACCAAGCTTGATAGTACAAATAGTTTTGAAATTCTGGGAGAAAGCAACGCATTTCTATTTCCTTTGATTTTTCAAATTGTTGTTTTTTGGGACGCCTGCTAACTTGCGTGATATTGCTATCTAGACAAATGAGATATTTTTCTACTGAATCAAATGGGACCAAGGCATAGTTTATAAAAATTAAGAAGTTACGAGTGTTTTATACATAAAGGTTATAATTTTTTAGGAATGCCCATTTATGCATAAAACTATTATAACTTCACTCTATAAATTTAAGTTTTATTTCATTCAGTGAAGAAAAAAAAAATACATGGAAAACAATAGCTCACTAGTCATTTCTCTCCTTCAGAAAATTTTAGAAACTATTCATAGCTTACCTGGTGGGATGGGGCAAACTTTAAATATTGGATACTAAACTAGATATTGGTTTGGGTTATTAACCCCAATCCACCTATGAACTAAACTAAACATGGGTTTAAATTTTAACTTCAAAATTTATTTTGTAGACGTTTTAGGAAATTTTCCTTTACCTTGGTTACAATTCAAATATTATGATATTATTTTAATGATTTATTGAAATTATTAAATAATTTAGAGGCTTTTGTTGTTCTTTATTTGAAAAAAATCTTAGTCGTTTCAAGGCAGCATACATTTTTTGAATTTGCTTGCGCTTAATTTAAACCAAGCTTCCAAAGGAAAAAAAGTGTTATTTCGGAAATTGGCTTCTAAAAATGATAATCTTACTGTTATTTTGATGGTATGATTAGGATATATAACACAATCTTTTCCAATCTTCTTTTATTCTTTTTTTTTTGTAAGAAATTCTATCGGTCATAAAATAAGTGGGCTTTAATTCTTTTAATGTTTCATCATATACAAAACATTTAATATAGAATAATCATGTAAATATAAAATACATTGAAGCGCTCTTTTTATAAAAGACTAGATCCAAGATCATCTCTAAAATCGTGAACATCACAGAAAATGAAATCAGGAACTTCACTGACGAATCATACCATTAATCATGATATTAGCTAAAGCATTTCTTCGTTTTCTCCACGAACCTAAATCTTTTGCATGATATCTTAACATTCGTAGCCATTCTTTAGTATCTTTCTTTGTTTCACCCTAAAAAATAAAGTTACTATCAGTTTTCTTTTTTTTCCCACTCAAAATTAAAGGTTATATATAAAAATTAAAAATCGAAATAAATGCCCCAATTTCACAGGTCAATGTATTATTATTCTAATCATTAAAAATGTATATGCAATCAGAGGTTCGATATAAGCTTACTTAAACACAGCTATCAAAGCTGGTGATAGTATCTGTGATATAAATTTATATATCTGTGATATATCTTTGGACCTGGATGCCACGCTCTTTTACTAAACCCCCACGTTTGAGATTTGGGGAAGTCTGTGGTAGTCCACCATTTTGATAACGAGTTATTGGCGTTGTTTTTCTACCCGTTTAGTTTTTACAGGAGGATTTAAGACTTGCCTATATTACCTTTACATGTCTAATATTTTAATGAATACATTTAATGCGTAGTACACCTGAGAAATTGTGGCATTCATCTTGGTTGCATATATCTAAAGCAAAAGACCATTACTTATTTCACTGATATTACTTGAATAACAATGCTTTCACTTTATAATATATAAATTGCAAATAGCAGTCGACCTGTTTCAACATAATCTTTCGACAAGAGCTCAAAAGTAGGCTCCCACTTTCAGGACTTGTTAGACGTGAAGGAGAAGAAGCAAAAGTAATTTGAAATATAAAACATAAATTTGCCTACGGGAAATCGAAAAATAAAGGGGAGAAACAAAATTAAAGAAACCACAGTAGCCGAGAGAGAAAAAGGATAAAAACAGAATATAAAAAACTCTCTGTGATGTGCGTGATTTACAAACTAATTTTATTTTAAGAAATATTGCATCCTAAATTCTTACTTTATATTGTATCGTCACTTTATAGACTCTTTATGTGCATCATATATTATAAATTTTAGTGTTACTGAATTATAAAAATGGCGGCTACTTGACACCAAGTAGTGTACATTCTTGTAGTGCAACACCACTTTGGTGTAAAGCCATTTATATATATATATATAATATATATAGAAAGATAATATATAAAGCCATATATATAT